ATATGTCGATATTGTTTGTTTCTGCTGCCCTCAAGTGGCCAAAAATAAGCTATTGCAGGCTTTAGTCTTCCCAAAATGTCCTTGTCGATGCTAGCATCATGGCTCAAAGGTTAGCAAATGTCAGTTGGTCCACCTCTTTGGTCGAGACTAAACTCAACAACTATCAGATAGATTGCCATAAAAAAAAAATGATCCCCCAGAGGATGAATCCTACTGGCTTTGTTGATTCATATCTTAGCATTATCATTCATATCGCATTTGTACAGCCTCACACAGCCTGGATGTAGACTCTTTGTTACACTACACTGTTAAATCTGCACAAAATGAAAGGGGAAGAAATGGCCCACACAAATAGAATCTCCTCACTAGATGAATGTGAAATAAAGGCATACATTAGACATTTTAATTTTGTGAAACACTATGTTCAATTTAAAGAAGAATGTTCTGATAATTTCAGTAGGTTGACTTCGTAGCAATAAAGCTTTGTTAATGAAACCCCATATCCTTAGACAAATCTAGACAGTGCAGAACAATGCTACATATAGGTCAGTAGGTTTATTGTCTTTGTCTGGTCTGCTACAGTCTGCGAGATCAAATAAAAATCACAATTTCAATTTCAAGTCTGAAACTTTCCAACCGAATCGATCCATTTTCAAGTTAATTACATTCTAATAGGGCAGCCTTCTTCCACATTTCGACTTCGTCCTTCATCACATTCGACTGTCTCTGCAGGTGATTCTCTCGATTGAAGAGGGCTACCGGCTGCCTGCACCAATGGGCTGCCCTGTGGCCCTGCACCAGCTGATGCTACACTGCTGGCAGAAGGAGAGGAGTCATCGGCCCAAATTCACCGATGTCGTTTCCTTCTTGGATAAACTGATCCGTAACCCCAGCAGCCTGCTGCCGCTGGTAGAGGATATTCAGAGGTACAGTATTGAAGGCTTCCTTGAAGTGCTTAATGTGTAACTGCACTGTAAGTTAATTTGAGCAGAGGTGACAGGGGACCACATTTTTCAAGCATCTGAATTTGAGTTATTTGAGTTGCAATAAAGAGTGAGCTATGATAGGACATCTCTTCTAAATCCAGAGGCAAAGATAGGGTGACATTGCTGGTAGAAGTCCATAAAAGTTCATAACATGCTCTTACTCCTACGCCTTAAAGTAAAACCAAGTGTGTGTCATTCTGAGAACTGTAAACCAGTAAGGTCACTTGTCCACCTCTGAGATGCTTTAGAAATACTGGCAGGATCTGACATTATCCTTCTTTTTTTTTATCAGTCTTCCAGAATCTCCAGGGGACGATATGGACTACCCAATGTTCATCTCCATCGGCGACTGGCTGGACGCCATTAAGATGAGTCAGTACAAGAGCAATTTCATGGCAGCTGGCTACAACACATTGGATTCTGTTGCGAGGATGAGTATTGAGTGAGTAGCAGAGCTTAAATATAACTATTATTAAGTTGCCTGAAACCAAATAGGACTATCTTTGCAGTAGAAGTGGGGATTCAAAGGGACCAATTTTAGTCATGAAGTTCAGTTTACTTTATACGAGGAGTACAATTCAAACTGTGAATGTATTTTGTGGTTCTATGAGGGAGCTTTTAAAAATAACCCTGATGATGTCATAGTGATGTCATCGGGGTTATCTGAAATTCATGTTGAGACTTAAACCTTTAACAGAATGCTGGTGGTTCAAACTGTGTGTGTGAAGATTGAAAGATGTGTTTTGTTTCACATTGACCGAAACGTGTCTCACATAAACTCAGTGTGCACAGTGAAATTATTTTGTTAATCCTCACTCAGTCCATATATGACTGAGGACAATAAATGAAGCTCATAGCACACTTGTCGGTGTAAACACTGCCTGCCCGACTCAGTGGACCGCCCTGAAAAAAACTGCAGTGAATGAAGTCAACTAAAAGTCCTCACAAGTGAGACTCAAAGCGTCCCGTGTGTGTGTTTTTGTGTTTTCCCTCTCGGCCTAGAGATGTGAGGCGTATAGGGGTGGAGCTGATCGGCCACCAGAGGCGGATCTCCAGCAGCGTACAGACCCTCCGCCTTCAGCTACTGCACGAACAGGAGAAGGGTTTCCATGTATGAGGACAGCTTGTAACACAACCTGGGATGGACAGACAGATGGACCAGAGGGAAGTGAAGTCTAGACCTTTGGACAGACAGTCTACAGCCTGTGCCTGAGTCTAAACCCCTCATAAAGGAGGTCACCGGACAGACTACCACAGCCGACTGCCCCCTGGTCTCCCTCACATCCAGTAGTAACAGACTTTTTCCTACTATACACCCATTACCAAGTATACCTGGCTCTGCCAGACTATTGCAGCCTGATAGACTTTAAAGACTGGCCCAGGCCCTCTCTTAGGGGAATGTAATGCCTTGTTGCAGCAGCAGTCATTTTTGTGTGGAGCAACAATATCTAGATGTAGATTTGCAAACATAATCTACTGAATCTTTTGACTTTTTTTCTTGTTGGTATTCTTTCCTTGCTCCGAGTTATGTGCTCATTTAGCTGCTATTGGGTGTGCAATCGAAACGTATTTGGAAAAAGTATCCTCGATATCTTTTATTTTGGAGTTTGATAATTTATATCATGATGGTATGATTTGCATTGCTTTAGTTTAACCTCTCTCCAGAGAATCTGGTATGCTAATACTTGAAGAAAGAAGTGAGAAGCAAGCGACGGAGATTTCTTGAATGTTTAAAAAGTGTATAGACAATTAATCAATAATTATTATCATAACCTAATATCTATATATGTGCAGTCCTGTATGTGAAAGCCCTAGTAAATCTGGATCTTATTAAAGATGTTTTATTTATGTAAGATTTTTATCCAAATCAGCAATACGGTATTATGCAGTCACCTCAGTATCTCAGAGAGAAATGAAGAATTGTGCAATGAGAGAACTCTTGTTGACATGTAAACATGAGTCTAACACCACACCATCCACCTGTTTTTATTGTCACATGCTAAACTTGCGGAACTGGATCCGTTGCCTTCAGATGAACAACCATACAAGTCCATCCCGACGATTTCTAGCAACCAGCGTGCTCACAGTTGTGTGAAAAGCCTGATTAATTTTGGATTGTGACTGTTATACATTGCCTGAAAGTACACAATCTCCACCGTCTCAACATATGAATGTTCACAGAGCTTAGATAGGAGATGTTTGAAATCGTCCGGAGACGTAACATGGACTTATATGGTTCTTCAGAACGAGCCGAAATGCTTTCATATACATTCATGTTTTCTTTTTGCCTGCACACACACACACTAATGCAGTGCACCTCTGGGACAAAGTTGGTCCAAGATGTCAGAGCAGAATCATTTGTTGTTGGTGCAAAGCTACTGGATGGATTTTAGAATGTTATTCTACTCCAGTCTGTTCTTACATTGTTGTAAAGGTTGTGGAATTTGTGGCAGTATGGCATACCAGTGTACATAGATGTAGTCTGAAATGAAAACTGTTGGATCTGCAGTAGGTGATGTCAAGTTGTGAGATGTTTGCCATTAGAATCAACATTTTTCTTCATTCGCTTAGTCAGTGGCGAATAGGCAGTGCTGCAGAATATAATTAGTTAGTTGAGCTGGGAATAGCACAAGTAGCTTCCACCTGGTGGATGGAAACCGGTGAGAAAAAGGCAGTAGACTTCGGTTTGTGTGACCAGGACAGAGCGGTCCTGCAGAGACAGTAAGTGACTTTTATGACGGCAGAGAGAGAATGAACACAAACAGCAGCATCATAACTCATCATGTGTCATTCTAGCATCAACAGTAACAAACATACACATGCACACACACACACACACACACACACACACACACACACACACAGAATGCCTTACAGTCTGTTAACCATGCAAGACAGAAACACTTTAGAGTGGTTCATACGTTTCAGTGCCGTTACAGGGACCTAGCCATTAGTTTGAGTTGTATTACCGCCCTTCTACAGCCGTGGATTTCCTTGCAAACCGGGGCTTGATGATTAATGTCGAAAGGGAAACTGGATCCAGAGATCTGTGCCTTTCGGTCACGGCGTAGTTATGCATCCCGGCCTGCAGGAATAGGAAAGGTGCCCACACACATCCAAACACACACAGATTTGCACACACACATGCTCACGTTCACCACCCCTCTACAGAATAAGGAGAATATCAGATGCTGTTTGTTTAGCATGTTCTACTGCTGAGCAATGTTAGAACGTTCTTTTGTACAAAGTACAAGTATACTTATAATTCTTGTATTTTATTTTTTATAATTTCCAAAGAGATGTTGTAGATCTTGCACACTGTAAGAGGCAGTTACAGCGAATATTTATTTGCAAATAAAGATGAACAGTTCTGGAGGTTGACTGCTCATTTCATTTTGTTGCCATTTTAAAATTAAAATAAAAACAGCATTGATTCAAAAGAAGAAATGCTATCCTATGTCTTTCAGGTTGTGAAATGAAAAGCTCGTAGAGGCAATCAAGCCCCATCTATTCATACAGCTATTATTGTAACCTATTGTTAAATGTATCAGTCTTGCACCACCTCTTTAACCTGGTTGCTTCCATGAAGTCGTACACAGAACAGAACCAAAAGATGGAACTGTTGGACCACTGACCAGCTCCAGACCTGACATGTGAGAAGCCCAAATTGAATTCCTGCAATCATTATGGAAATGTAAAAGATAAATAATATTCAGATTGGATGTGATATTTTTTCTGTTGAGAGTTTGCCTTATCCCTTCTTCAAAAAACATATTTTCCCATTATGATTACATATGCTTTACTATGTCCTCATACATATAGTTTATATAGTGACCAAATTTAAAGATATGTACGACCTCCTCTCTTACTGTGACATTTTGTTCTGTTATTTCTAATTCATTGTAGATTTACATCAAACACTTTATCACAGATTGCTCTAATTAGTGTAAAGCAAACAGACTGACACAACAGATAGTGGCTCCAATTAAGATAATATAAGGTTAGGCGTTAGACCATCAAATGCATCTTATCAAATGCATAAGATAGAAAGCCGCAACCTCCATGACCAGGTCACCGGGTGGTTCAAAGAGCTTAATTCTCCTTAACAGGATTACCTGTCCCAAGCTGGGATGCCCAGGCAGCATCTCAGCTTGGGACACTATTCACAACAAGTACTGGGAACACGCAGTCCACGGCTGTGTTTATCATCATTGTTTACTTCCATGACAACTTTCAAATTCAGTATATTTAATTTACAGTAGTCAGACTATCTACGGGGTGATGCGTTAAACATTTAAATGGTATAACATCGATCAAGTCTAATGGGGCTGCTGGATAAACTGTCGGGCTGGCTCGGCCTGAGGAAGAAAGAGGTCAACGTTTTGTGTTTGGGACTGGACAACAGCGGCAAAACCACCATCATCAACCAGCTCAAACCGTCGAATGTAAGTACATGAAACTGGGACTTATTATAAGAGGCGATTGTGTACTGTAGTCTACCATGTGGGAGCACAATCTTGTTATGCATAAAAACAAAATCTCATACCATTATCATTCAGGATAAATACTGTGACAAGGCCTGTCAAAATCTCCTTTATTGAACTGCAATCATTCATCGATTGCTTGTTTTCAGCATTCGAATCATTTAGGCCCATTGTCACCCGACTGGAAACATGTTAGTCAGGTAAAGCCCATATCATACTTTCCTTATACTATTTCCTTGTTGACATACTTTTGCCGTTACTTGTCTGTTTTTGTGTGTTTGTGTGCGCGCGCGTGTGTGTGTGTGTGTGTCTCTGTGTGCGGGTGAATGCAGACACAGGCACAAGAAATAGTCCCAACAATTGGCTTCAACATTGAAAAGTTCAAGAGTTCAAGGTAGAATTTTACAGACAATTATGCATATTTATTAGTGAGTAATTAACAGACATGGAATAAAAAACAATGGCTAAAACACCATTAAGTAACATTCTAAGCTGTCTGCGCTCTCTCTCTCTCTCTCTCTCTCCCCCCTCTCTCTCTCTCTGCAGCCTGTCTTTTACAGTCTTTGATATGTCTGGGCAGAGCAGATACAGAAACCTATGGGAGCATTACTACAAGTATGAGACACACAACGTGCCCGTCACTCATCAAATATTAAAACTCGTTGCCGCCCCAAGACTCAATTCTAACTTCTTCTTCTGTCCTCCTCAGAGAAAGTCATGCCATCATATTTGTCATTGACAGCAGTGACAAACTGAGAATGGTTGTTGCCAAAGAGGAACTAGATACTCTTCTCAACCACGAAGGTAAGCATGATTGACATATACTATATTTCTACTATATTAGGCCTTTTGTAAACTATGCTATCAGGCATAGTTCAGGGTTCATAACAAACAATGCAGTTTTAGCAGTTTATTGCCATTAGTATTACTACTAACTGTGTCCTGGGATCAGTTGTTAGTGTCCGCATAGTCTGAATCTGGCATGTTAAAACCATGTGTGTTTTCAGTCCAGTGAAAGACTAAATAAGTTTATTTCACTGTCTAACATACCTTCAAGTAAAAACTATGGAAAAAGTCACTGAAGTCACTGGTTGTCACTTTTGGTTGAATGAGAACCTGCTCGTTTTAGTCTTCCACCATGGCACATGGTCTAATGTGGTACAACGTTTTAGATATCAAGATAAAATGTGTCTGTCAAACTTTAAATGATCTGCTGGTACTCAGCACACTAATTAATTATTGTATAGATAAAAATATGATTTTTGTCCGATAATTCACTGGCCTTCATGTCTGATTTATAATCCAGATATCCACAGCAAAAAGCTGCCTGTATTGTTCTTTGCTAACAAGATGGATCTGCGGGATGCCGTGTCTTCTGTCAAGGTCTCCCAGATGTTGTCTTTAGAGAACATCAAAGACAAACCCTGGAACATCTGGTAAAATATCTGTCCTCTGGTCACACATACAGTCCTACAACGAACACAGGAATCATGCTAGTGTCAGGTAGTGTTGAGGGAAGTGCACTTGGATTAAATATGAACTGAGCCAAGCCCTGTCACTTCCCCATCCACAACATTGTATGCTTCCAGAGTTGCAGCTTAAAGTCTTAAACAGAGACAATAAAGTGACCATGCATATTTACTCACTCCTTCCTGGGCCTGTTCCCAATGTCTGCTTGTTTGTCCTTTTCCATGGCTCGGGTTAAACATTATTCGGAGGCACCGCCTGGTTAGTTTGTATACATGTGCTTACCATCCTGTTTACTCATTAGACAGATGGAAGGCAGATGGATTAAGAGCAGGACAGCTTTAAACAGCCAGGATCCAAGAAAAGTCATAAGAAAGTGAACGTGTGCCAAAAGCAGATTAACTTCTCGACATCTCCTTATGTTTTTCTCAGTGCCAGCAATGCTATTAAAGGAGAGGGCCTACAGGAAGGGCTGGACTGGCTACAAGGTAAAGTTCAGTAACTTAAATTAAATTGTCATACTTGGCCAGAAGAAATTAAAGGCGGTGTTAAATTGTGCTAAGATGTTAATGTCATCGTGTCAAGTGCTGTCTGTATTAAGACATGTCTTTTTTTTCATACCCGTAGAACAAATTGCACAGTAAGTATCATCATGTAAAGTCATTGTGGTGGTAGATTGTATCTCAGCATCTCTCTGGATGGGATTTAAGTCACGGTAGGCCAAGTGAGCATTACCCAAACAACAGGTTTTTGATTGACTGTAAATAACACTAAAGAGAAAAATCATGTACTATTGAAATTACTCAACGACAGAAATAAATCCCATCCAACTGTATGGTCTGTGAAACGTTTAGTTTTGATCCCCCTTGTCCAATTTGAACGTATGTGCTGTGTACATTTCCTGATCTGAGCCATCGAACACTCTCCAAAACCGTCGTATTTTAGCAAAAAAAATGCTACAAATAAGCTTTGAAGTCTTGAAAAGTAAATCTTCGTATTAATTCCATGGTTTTCAGTTTGCACCCAAATCCTCCAAATCCGTCACATACAAAGAAAGCACAACCAGATTTAATTTCTAAAAAATATCTATTTTTGTTTGTTTCTCCTGCCAGATCATATCAAAACAATGAGCTTGTGAATGATTGAAATGCCTGTGACCGTTGACGCGATGTGGATGTGGAAACCGGATCTAATTTACCACTTGGAGTTCTCATCACACTTGATGTTGTAGGCCTTAAACAACAACGTCAAATAGTCTGGTACCACCTGTGCACGCTACAACTTTGACACCATGTTTTTATGAAACAACAGAATATAATATTGTAATTGGTATATGACTACTCTCTAATGTGAATATTTAAAGCGCCCACAGATAGTAAGTTACCTATGTTATTCATAAATATCCTTGATGTTGTTTCTGTATAAAGCAACATTCAAACATTTTATATTTCATTCCATGATCAACTGAGCTGTTTTTGTGCTGAATATTGTACCACCTGGAGGACAATAAAAGCTTGTTGCTGAGTTTGTGCTGTGTTTCATTTTTTGTAAGAAGGAAGCCAGAAAATACACAAAACAAAATAAAGACATTATAATTGAAAATACCAATTTAATAAATTATGCAAAAAACAATGTAATCATTGTTTCACAACTATATTTACAGAAAGGTGCAATGTCAATAAATAATAAATAAGAATAAATATTAATGTTGTTAATGAAAAAATACTAAATACAGTTTATAAACATTAACCTGCAAGATGTTTAAGAAGAGCAAGATTTAAAAACTTTGGGAGAAATATAAAATGTGTATAAATAACCATGCTGTTTGTCCAAAGTAGTTAAACAGCTCTATTTTCAACCAACAGTTTTGTTTATCGTATATAATGAATTGCAAACCAAATTCATCCTTGGGTCCCTCCCTCTCTTTAGTTAACCCCTTCATTATTGACGTCTGTTTCTTCCCCAACTCTTCCTCCTCGTGTCACTTTATCTGCGTCATTCCTATTTGAGGAACATGTGGAGGAATTTGGTGTGGAAGCGAGCACTGGCGTCCATGAGGAAACACAGGGTCTGGAAAGTCTCCCTGTCGTCAAGATGGTTTACTGAAAACACATGATGATTATTAATTACTTTTTATATTGCTTTTAATGTGAACCAGAGGCACTGTGGAGGTATTCAAGATCGATCTAGGTGGTCCCAATATGATTAACAAGAAGAAACGTCTTACGTTCTACGTCTGTCTTTTCTACATACTTTTATGATTGCAATATCACAATATCACGGTATGGGAGTATGGTATTACATTTCTCGATGCAAGGAACCATTATTACTAGGAACCAAGAATCATTTTGAAAAAAGATAAAAAATGTAATTTACACTCCAGGAAGCCGTTCCTCCTCACCTATTACAGACAACTCAAAAAACTCCCTGGTGACCTCTGAAAACATGTTCTCCAGCTGCTGGATGAAGCAGAACCTTTCGGGAGCCGTGCTGAACACCTTGCAGATCTGCTGCACCATCTTCACCGCCCACGTCATGTGATAGCCGTCTTTCTCACACACCTGAGGATGCAACAGGACGAAACAGAAAGCTGAACCAATAGTCCTTTTCACAGCACAAATTATGTTAAATAAACTGTTATGGCGGCCGATTGAGGAGGTAACGGAATAACTAATAAATACATTTTGCACCATGGACAGCACAAGTTACTCTAATCTATGTTTAATCTGCTATTAATCAACTGTACATTGCTGGCCTACACCTGATTCTCAATTAAAAGCCAATAACGGTCCAACATACCACTACTAACCAAAATGCCAGCTAATTTCCTCGAGCTGATGATGAAACAACTAGTATCCTCACCAGTATGATGTACACAATCAGTCTAGAGATCTCGAGAATTCGTCCGTTGATGGCCTTGCTGGCTAGAACGGTGTAGCAGAGACTGCTGCCACACAGCACCAACAGACGAGCCACATTCTCCACATGCCATGGCTGAGGGATGACTGGAGATTATAAGGAGGAGGACCATATATACAATCAGTGGGGGGGTCCGTAACACTACTATGTTTTTATCTGGGACGTGAAAACATTAGAGGACCACTGAAGTACGATACCAATGAGCTCCTCCAAGATCGCCAGCAGGGAGTTGGTGGTCTGGTATTTGGCTTCTAGTTTGCCGAAGAGCAGCAGGATGGCCCTGGCCAGGTCCCACAGAGCGCAGTGAGGCAGCCCCCTCTCCACCAGATCCTGCCACTCGAAGGTGCCTGCTATGGTGGAAGAAAAACAAGCTGAATAGGAGGCAAGCCACGCTTTCCAACAACAGTCTCAACTAAACTAAAATCAGCCGGATAAATGTGTTCTCGTGAAGTTAAATAAACACACACCACCCTCACCCTCTGGCATCAGAGGTCCGTAGAGGATGAACAGCAGGTGTGCCTGGCTGACCATGGGCCAAGGCTTCAGGAGTTGCGTCAGCCAGAATTGGCACTCTGGCTGGCTCGGCCACGGGTCCAACAGAACCTTACGGCAGAATAGACGGAGCTGCAGCTTCTGGTCCCACCTCACCCCTGAGGACAGACGGAGGAATAGAGAAACATGTTTTTTTGGAATCATGTCTTTTAAGACTTTTAATGAGGCTCAAGAGGAACAGGCCCAGAGTATAAAGAAATGATCCTCTCTGATGGGACTGCTCTCCATGTTACACCTCTACACACCTGGTTTCCCCATGATGACGGCCTCTATCTTTTGCAGCAGATTTGTGAGGTCACTCAGGAAGTTGAACACTCTGTGGCACTCCAGCTCATCCCACCCTGCGATCAGTGTCTGTGAAGTATTCAACAGTACATAATGTAACATTTTCAAAGGCAGAAAAGAGTCATATTTCCCTGCTTAATTGTTTCCAGACATTGGGATGACACACAAAGGTGAGACGTGATTCATAAGAAGCCTACGATTTCTCAACCATACATATATTCTGTGTTTCTACATTTTCCTTTAATCACAACCAAGCTTCAGATGAACTGTTTATCTTTATATGAGGCCCTCACCTGGAGGAAGACTCCGTAGCTGGAGAAGCCCATGCAGTCTGGTGCTAAACACTGCTCCATCAGGAAGCAGGGAATCTGAAACAGATCAGTGGGACAACTTTATTTATTTTGACTTATTATTAGCATAGGACATAGGTTATGATCAACAGATATTAAGGCTGAATAATATATCGTTTCAGCTACAACATTGAAATTTTAGCATGTGCAGCATTCCAAAGGTAATGAGGTCAAATGACACCGTTTAGCTTTTCAGGACTAGTCTTAAATAAATCAAATAGTTCAGCCTGGTGTGACATTATCTAATCTTGCTGGCTCGTCCTCTCACCTCTCCTTTTCTTACCTGTGAAAACTTGCTAAAGATAAACTTTAACCTGTCCTTTGTTGGTTGCAACAGGGTACATCTCTTGAACAACAAACCTGAGACATTGAACACAAAGCACATTGTCAAATTAAATAGATTTTGATCTTTCCTCTCCCTTCACTTGACAGCGTAACTTGTCCATCATACTGTATGGTGGTCATTCAAGTGTATGTTAAATGCCGGGAGACGCTATCGGTAATATGCCTGCCACAGATCAACAGGTTAATTATAAATGTCACCATACACGGTCTGGAGAAGAGCTATACAAAGTAAAGCATTCAGCTAAATATGCATATCCACGTACCCAGGTCTCTGTAGTGTTCAATCGTGGATCTATTTTCAAGGCAGGTGGAGTGGTGAAAGCTTTGAATGATCGTTTTATTCTTCCAGGCCAGGGTGGAGATGTAGTCCAAAATGTATCTCGTGATTGCCTTGGACACCATGCTGAGCACACTGATCTCCAGCACTGACAAACACACACATTGTTTATTATCAAGTTTCAAATATGTAGACTGAAAAGACATTTTTTTTCTTCACTAACTTGTCCAAATATGTCCTAAAAGTAGTGGTAGAATTGGATTTTTGTTTCACACATTCAAAAAATGTGTTAGAACAAACAGTTGAAGTACAATTTTATGAATCATATTATTCATATTTACTGTAAGTATAAGCCTTAAATGTAAAATATCCCAAATACATGAACGTTTCAAACAAACTCTGACAGACATGTAAGTTAAAATGTTGTTAGTTCCACCTACTAGACAGTTTGTCCAGGATCATGTCGAACACCTCTGTCGGGAGACTGTGGAAGAAGCTGCCGCTAGTGGTGTCAACGGTACACTGGCTGCGGGTCACGATGGTTGGGAGACTGTGGAAGAAGCTGCCGCTAGTGGTGTCGACGGTACACTGGCTGCGGGTCACGATGGTTCTGGTCGGGCGTGGCCGACGACGAGGTGTCCTCTTGTGGGACTTGTGTGTCAGCGTGTACTTCACCACATTTCTGGTGGCTTTCCTCACCATGACTTGCACCACTGAATTGACTGTAATAAACAAGAATAAAGCAATGTTTACAATAAACTTTTAAGCTAACCTAACGTTAGCGTAAAAAAAAAAAATCTCCCCTTTCGGATAATGCTAAGCCAGTATAGCTAACGGAGCAGCTAATGCTAAACCAGTATAGCTAACGGAGCAGCTAATGCTAAGCCAGTATAGCTAACGGAGCAGCTAATGCTAAGCCAGTATAGCTAACGGAGCAGCTAATGCTAAGTCAGTATTGCTAGCTAACCTAGCTAGCTAAACTTATAAACTAAACTCCTGACAAACTAGATGAATATAGTAGCAGTTTCATTAACATTCAAGTTGACGTAGTCACTTACTGAAACATATAATTAATAGCAATACAAGCTAATAGTTAAATTAATATAGTATCTTACCAGTACTATTAACTTAGTGATGTTGATAGTCTTCTGAGATAGTGGAGTGAGTGTTAACTAGATGTCTTTGATGACACCGTGGTATTAGACAACGGCGCGAAACAAATTACTTTACTGTGATAGTAAATGGTACTGTGTACATAGTATATAGTACTACATAGTACTGTGGCCCAGATCACATCAAGCTTGGCCTCTACTTAATAGATCAGCGTAATAATAGTAATGCTATATACAGTAATAATTAGGCAGCTCTGTAAGAAAATGGTATACAATTATTGAATTAGTTAATTAATGTGTAACCACAGACTGTATATAAGAAGTGTGTAACGATACATTGAGCCGTCAGATAAAATAGTAGCCTAAAAGGCATTCTCAGAAATATAATATAATATCCCATCATATATATATATATATATATATATATAGGTTGGCTTTTAACTGAATTATTTTGTGCAGGTTGCATGTTTTTTCTCTCAAATATCAAATAGTAATCTAGCAGTAACAGATTGCTCCTGCACCATATTTATTTACTGCATAACCAGTTATCTTAAATGCCCTATACTACACTCATACAGGTGTTTTGGCTGAATAGTTATGAATGTTATGTTATGAAACTCGTCTGTGATGTTAATGTGGTTTTAATTAATTCATGATCTAATCAGACAGAATGGCCAACAGCTGTGTGGGAGTGCAGGGCCTTTAATGATATGTAGTTCGTACTATATTTTAGGAATGTTGTGTATATCCGTACACATATATATATAGTTTAAAAGATATGTGCAGTATAAAAGTCCAGCTTTTCAGACCTCTGAAGAAATAAATACACACACAAAAAATGGAGAACCGTACTACACACACTATTATGATTGTGTTACCCCTCCAGCTCTGTGCACAACAGACCAGCTATGCTCAGCTGCTAATCACAGGATTATTCTGCTTAACTAAGACTATTAAGTGTTCCACATTCAGATGGCGTCTCCCACAGGCAGACCTTGGAGAGGATCATCCCTTCTCTACAGAGCTCTCACAGAGAAGTGAACACTGCATAAGGGACCCAGGGGAAGGGCTGGGAAAATGCCCTTGTATACCAACAGGATGTCACGGTAGGTTACACTCGGGGCGCAGAGGGTGAGAGAGAGAGAGAGAAGAACTGCCAAGGAAGAAGATGGACCTCAGAGGAACCCGTTTTGAATGACCTCACCTGGCTTGCAGGACAGTAGGTATCGCACACGCAATCACAAACACATACAGCACTGCATGAAGTACAGCTTGGCTATCAATTTGAAACCTAATTGTAGTTGATGTATATTCCCGTTGCCTTTAAGTTGATGCACTGATTAAGTCATTGAATTTTTCATTCTTTCTTTTAATTGTGTCTGTTATCCATTTCAACAGATGTGGAGCTCCAGAGAGCTTAGTTATTGAGGCAAAAAACAGCACAACCAGTGAGGACAATATCTCTTCTGTCTGTCTCTGCTTGGAAACACTGCTCTGCCTCCGGGTCCACGGGTTTATCTGTCTAGAGAGCAACAAGCCATCACCGGGACTGTCTCTCATGTCATCTGTAACGCGATGCTCCTGATGCTGACAGGGATAAGGACGATGATGATATCTAACATTGACCAGTCACATATCTGACACTCCCGCAGCATTAGACACATATTCCTTGACTTTTGAGGCAGCAGTGGAGACAGAAGGAGCTGGACAGTGTGGAATCAGTGCCAATGGCCTATTTATTTGGAAGTGTACCATCTGGACACCTCTGATCATGGATCCGTAGTCCTCTTGTGACCTTGTTGGTGAGTATCCCAATGTGGAGAGCTTTTACTAAGAAGTGAAATGTAAAAAAAGTATATGAATATTACATTTGGCTTTGCTCTTGGGTGGGCTGATTTGTGGGTAAACCAACAGCAAAAACAAGATGGTTGTCACAGCCTTGCCTTTGTTCCTATTGCTCACTAGTTATGCCTTCAGTGTAGTCAATCATTAAGTAAACACAATGAGGCTTGTATCTGATATTTTAAGAGGCCCCAGCAGTGTCAGGTCTGACGCTGAACAATAATCAGGCTCTGTAAACAGCCACTGTTCTCTGAGGAAGTTAAACAATGTATGAGCGCAGTTTGGTTTCTTTGTTTTGACATTTAAAGTCGCTCTGCTTCATTCTTGCCGAGGCAACAGGGGATTTTGCATTTAAGTAGGTATTATTCCTCAGTTAATTATATTACATTTTGATTGTTTGATGTATTTTTCAGAGACTTTGATAGTCATTATTCGAAAATGTGTCCCCACATTATTCAGGGTTTTTTCACTTGCGCTATAAAAAAAAGAAACTAAGCGGTAGAGAACATTTTGTTCAAAACATTGAGAAGGAACAGAAGTAAATGCTTAACTACCAAATGGGTTTCTTACCCAGAGTGTATCCTGTGTGAACTTATGAATGTAGAACTGAGCGCCAGGTCAGAGATCAAATTGGGCAAAATATGAGTTGGTCAATTATTACAACATAAGTCACTACTATCCCTTATTGTCACAGTTTGGGGCTCAGTGCTCTGTCATCAAGTCATTCAGTCCCTCTCTCTCTCAAATACCTTGCAGAGCTGTGACAAATGTTCAAAGTTAGTGGTTTTTAACAGTACTCTCAGCTTGGGTGGTTCCTGTAAATGTTTAATTTCCTCTCTCTGTCTCTCTTCCTTCCTGAGGAGTGGTGGGGAGCTTAACAAATAGACTGCTGTGGTTTGCCCTCCGGAGGAGAGCGTTAAACAGGTGAAGCTGAACACTGCTCTCATTAGTTACAGATGCAGTCACCTGCCACTCACCAGAGACTGATGCCAGAGAGTTTCCACAGCTATTTCTGCCAGCACTCCGGAGACACTTGAGGAATGGCTCAGACTCTGTGACTGGATGTAAGCTCAGTGGAATTGACTGTACTGCTAGGGACCATGCAGATAACAGGAGGAATCCAGCCTCTTCTTCAGCCTGCGGGACTGAAGTTTTGTTCTGAAAGTGTTTCTTTTGTATGCTGCGACATGGCGTTCCTGTGTGTCGATTTTCCCTTTTACACATGTTATCTGTGGATCCAATAGATATTCATGAGCGTGCTTGATGACATGCATTTTGAGACATCCAATTGCTCTTAAGTGCCTCCTACGCACTTATAAACAGTGACTTATAAGTGTGACTTTGTACTTTGCAGTTTGAACATCCATCCCGGTGAGCAAATCATGGCCAGCACAGCGGTTCAACTCCTTGGCTTCTTCTTGGGACTGTTGGGGTTTGTAGGAACTGTTGTTGCAACTCTGCTCCCCCACTGGCGCAGTACAGCCTATGTGGGCTCCAACATCATCACAACCACCGCCTATATGAAAGGCCTGTGGATGGAGTGTGTGTGGCAAAGCACTGGCATTTACCAATGTGAGCTGTACAGATCTCTACTGGCACTGCCACGCGACCTGCAGGTACGACACATTCACCAGTTAGTGAAAGTATTTTATCCAAAGCACCTCATCATGGGAAACAACAAAAAATGAATTGCTATTTTGATTATTTATAATCTTTTCAGCGGTTTTTCAAGCAAAAATGTTCAACAAATGTGAGGATTTTCTGCTTCTCTCTGTTTCATATCATTGTACACTAAATATCTTTGGGCTTTTAACTATTGTTAGTTGCTGCCCTAATAATTGCATTGCCCAGATATACTGTATAGATGGATGGTCCGGTATGACCAAGCAGTTGCACTTTTCTAACCCTACGGGCTACAATAGGAATCGGTTTTAATCCCAATGTTGAAGTGCTTGTGTTTTCTCTTCCCTTTAGGCTGCCCGGGCGCTCATGGTGCTCTCCTGCATCACATCAGTCCTGGCATCTCTGGTGTCGGTGACGGGGATGAAGTGTACCCGCTTCGTCCGTGACTCCTCGATCAAGTCTTCGCTGGTGCTAAGTGGGGGGATATGTTTTCTCTGCGCTGGCCTGCTCTGCCTGGTCACCGTGTCCTGGACCACCAACGATGTCATCATAGATTTCTACGACCCCTTCCTTCCCAGCGGGATGAAGTGTGAGATTGGCCTGGCCGTGTACCTCGGTTACGCCTCGGCCTGCGTCAGTCTGACCGGAGGAATGGTGCTATGCGGGAGCAGCAGCAGCGACAGGTCACGGAGGCCCCTCCATGTGCAGAGGGGTCGACCGTTATCACCTCCCTCTGCCTTCAACCACATATACCCTCCCGCTCCCCCCTACAAGCCCCCCGAGGCCCTGAAGGACAATCGCGCTCCCTCACTTTGCTCCCTTTCCAGCAGCGGCTATAGGCTCAACAACTACGTCTAAGACCACCAACTGCAAAACTATGGAGACTGTTAAAAAGATACGGCACAGACCAAAACTGAACACTTCTCCCACGTAATATCTTAACAAGTATTTTAGCCTCTATACCGAAAAAAAAGAGTTAAAAAATGGAAAAGGAAAGAAGTTACCCCACCATGTTTGACCAAAAATCTGATTTGGAAAGGATATCAAAATCTGCTCAGGCTTTCATCTAACTTTAACATGACCAGTTCTAGGCTGAGCTTAATAGCCAAACATAACTCACAGTGTGTGTGTGAGAGAAAACTGAGAGCTCAAACCTTGTTGACCTCCTGCTGTGTAACCGAAGGACCAGAAGGTGGCAATATGTTACTGCAAATAGCCACAGAAGAAATCACATACAAATTCCTCATCGTATGCTGAAACACACGTTAATGGTTAAGCTATTGTTCTGTCACTTCCTTGTTCTAGCCTACTCTCTTGTTGGGATTAACTCTTTCTGTTGTCAGTTCAAATATTATAATACTTTTAAAGTAGATGGATGATGTTTTATGTCACTATGCAATATTTTCATGCCAAAGAAAATAAAAAAACAATGGCCATTTCTGATGATTTAAACATAGATCAGTACTTTATAAAATACTTTTTTATTGTTTTTAATGAGCTGATAAAGCAGATGTTCTGTCATGTAAAAGTCAGAAAAACACAGCTGTAATTAATGACATTGATTGACCTGGGTTACTGGGATACATGAAGGAAAAATACATCGTTAACAGTATTAGTTCCACCTGCGCTTTTCCTCCTATGGCACGTCCAAACGTCTGCTGTGACAAAAACCTACAATAGGTGACAAAGTGACACTTTTTGGCCCAAAAATCCATTGTTGATTATTTACTTTTAACACTCAGGAAACCCTGCTGCAGTAGGGTTGGGGTTAGAATTTGGCATTTCTCTGTCCAACTTTTCATGTATTGTAACATTTTGAATGTAAAGCTGAAGAAAGCCACTGGATGGCGACAAAGGTCTTTGGAGAAGGCAGCCTAAAGCCTTCAGTTAGAACTCATTTTTATTCATTCATTTTTATTATACAATGCTATGCTATTGTGTAAAGATAATGGCACTTTTTATGAATGGATCTAACCCAAAGTCTGAGTACTTAAGTCAAGTATGGGAAAGATAATTTTGTACCATTTGTGGAGGCTGAATGTGACTCCTCTGAGGCTTTCCAGGATGCTCGCTTATACCTACCTGTAACACTGTGGACGTGTTTGTTAGAAAACTCTCCAATTAGAGCTGCCCTCTGTCTGGCAGCCACACAGACACTCAATTAGAGGACCCGTCACAATTTAAGCAAGTCACTTCTTTTATTGTCAGACTAGTCAGCATCGACAAGGAGCTCATTTAAATTGCCGGTAAAGCCCAAAGAATGAATTCACTTTAGTTTTTGAGTTTAAATAAGGAAAATGCTTGCTGTACCGATTGCTTGTGGAGATCAACCGTATGAAACTTCTTTAAAAGATGTTTTGAAAAATGCTACGGAAATATCACATGAAAGTGATTGTTAAAGTTGGGGGCATATTTTCAGCACCATGGACAGCTCCAAGGATACAGCCTATTGGAATGATAGATGTTTTAGTAGGGATTGTAGATCTTTTTTCTAGTTGTGGTTTGAAAGCAGTCCATATACGAGATAACTTTATAAAGTATATTTACATAGATATATGTAGCACATAGGAGAATATTGTGACTCACATGGCCCTTACAATACACAGCGAATACAAGTTTCATACTCGATTATTTTGATCATCAGTATATAATTTAAAAAAAGAGTTGTAGTCTCTTAAAGCAGAATTATTACTATGTCCTGGTGCATTCAAGTCCAGATTTGGAGACATATACGACTTCAAGTGTACTAAATGTGACCATAATGATGCTTTGATTTTGATGTAAAAATGCAAAAGCTTGTGAGTTGTGTTCTTGGACGAAAGAAACGTACGTGCGTAAAGTGAGTGATAAAAGGAAAAAAATATCTATTCCTGTGCGGGGTTTACATCCTCAACATTACCACCTTACTGCCAGCGTCTGCAGAATAAACGCGAGGCAATAATTGCGGAGCAAGATCATAAATCAGGCCTGAAATATAACCTGGCAGAGCAAAGGTTTCCTCCATTGCCAATGTGATATTATGATATTGGAAAGCTTTCCCGAACAGGTTGTGCGTCATGCCACTCTCTATTAGGTGCTAATTTCGTCCTGCCCTGGAAGACATTTATCCACCATCTACTCACCCTGACAGCACCCAATAAACCCACCACTCCCATTCATCTCCACCCACCTCCACCCTCTCTCCTCGCCCCTCGCTCTCTTCCTCTCCCTCTCTCTCCTTTCCGTCGAGCCTTGGTGAATTAAAAAACAACATAGGAGAATTGTGTTTGTTCGGCCAAGAGGATTATTTTTCTGGTACCTTAATAGTTTTCCAATAAAATCGCCTTTGACACTTTGTAAATCTTTATTTGGAGGACCTGCTGCTGGATTTTTCTCCAAAGGAAAGGTAAGATAATGTCAGTTTCTTATAGTATCTTCCTTTATGTGTTGGCTCACTGGAATTGCATTTGACCATCGTGACAGATGTTGATTTAAAGAGAGATCAATAATGCAATTCTGGCCTCCTGGAACCATGGTGTCAGCGCAACGGGGAGCTGAAACCTAAAGGTTTGATTCTAGTGATGCCGCACATCGGACACAAAACCCTTATGCATCTGTTTTAGGTCTCCTCTGGTAGTTTTTGACGGTGCATCGCGTTTGGGAAGCATCAATAGACTTTTACGCACGAAAACAAAAACCATGTAGGTCCATTTTATTAACCATACTATGCCACAGAGCAACCTGAAGACTTTTTAAGAAACATTAAAATGTAATAGACATCGCGTGAGTAAACTGGCAGAATAATTGGAGTAAGTCAAGTCTGTAAAGCGAGCAGAAAGGCGCGCGTAAAACATCTTCAACTGCCTTAAAAGCTTAACAAGCGTAACGCTAATAATACCATTATTTCTGGTTTGGGATTTTTCGGATTCATATCTTTTGTTTTGATGACACATGGAGTGCCGTTTGTTCCCCTTCACGCGTCAGTTGGACACGGTAAGGTATCCACTCTATAGCTAAAGTTGAAATATGACATTTCGCAGTTTGTATGTTTTGTTTTTTTAATCAAAGGGGCTTTCAGCACCTGCTGTTCGTCTTTACTTAATTGTGTTGGTTAAAGGATTTGGATTCAAGCAGTGAGGGGAGGAAAATAAAAATTAGACTCGAAAAAGCAGGGGATTTCAGCCGGCAATGTGGGTTACAAGTTATGATGTTGTTTTCTTTAATTATTTGTAGAAATATTGGAATTATATATATTTCTCTAATATTGATTCCATCTGTGAGGTTTAACTGGGAAAAACGCCACTTTTGGCAAGATTTTTAATTATGTGCGTGTATATTTTGGTGATCCGGAGATTTTATAGTATAGTATAGAAATTTGCATTAAGCGTGAAGTTGATCAATGCGTAGAAAACATGAAATTCATATTTAAATAACTTTGTATTCTCCAACTGGAAACAATGGGTGTCAGTTTGAAATATTCACTCAACATGAGAACAGATTACATCTTGTCACTTTTAAGAATCTGGATGCCTTACATAAAGTGTTTAGATAGTATTGTTTTAAAGTTGGTGATCAAATTACTAGATCTTATTCATATGAGTTAGTCATCTCCTTGTAATGCACATGGAAGCACTTTAATTGCAGTCAGCCTGTGCCGTTAACCTAAAATGTGTATGGCACAAGGTGAGGCTTCAGTGAAATAGTTATTTATAAGTCAAAGACCATAGACATGTGTTTCTTTCTTTTTCTTTCTAAAGTTCTTTCCATGAGATTCCAGTTCCCCGCGCGCAACAGTACTTGATCTCGGCGGGAGGAAGCGGACGAAAGGAAGATGGCCATCCACGTCGAGGGTATCGTGGCTATCGTGATCTTCTACGTCCTGATTCTGTTTGTTGGGATCTGGGCCGCGTGGAAGAACAAGAACTCCGGTGTTGGCGTAGACCAGAGCGAGCGCATCATGGTCGGGGGAAGGGACATCGGATTGTTCGTTGGTGGATTCACAATGACCGGTGTGTTGGTTACAGGGATTCTTTGAATTTTTGTTTGTTGGTAGGTGTTCAACATATGAGGTCAGAAAAAACAATAAATTCCATCAACGCACGGGCAGCACTGCGGCCACAAATGTAATTGATTACCACTACTTTCAGAATTACAATCAATAAAGTCCTGAACACTTAAAGACGCTGCAACTTTTTGCTGACGTTTTAAATCAACTCCGTAAGTTTAAATATGTGCCGTGAGTCCGGATGTCCCGTGTAATTGTTGAATGACTTCAATTCTGTTTTCCCCACACCAAATGTATTCAGCTGGATCTTTACCAAATCACATTCACAACTACAAGCCGGTTTAGTGAATCCCTTTCCATCCACAATATACAACCATGACTTGTAGGGTTCTTGTTATTATAATTGTCTTCTGCAACATGACATGCACCAAACTGTTGTTTTTTACAAAATGTTCTTTCTTGGTTTCAGCCACTTGGGTGGGTGGGGGCTACATTAATGGGACAGCAGAGTATGTCTACCTGCCGGACTACGGCCTTGCTTGGGCGCAGGCACCCTTTGGATACGCTCTCAGCCTGGTAGTAGGTAAGAGCCAGTGTCTTTGTTTAAGCCCTTTCTTTAATTATACTGTAAAAAGCCAGTGGATTAAATAACCATGTCTAATGAGAAGGCATTGAGGTACCTTTTAAATAACCATACCAGTAGTTTTGCATGTTTTTAGGCCTTTTACTACAAAGTGATCATCATGTCTGCTTTGATTTTTGTCACTCTGCAACATTGTTGTGTAGCGATGCAGTGTAGACTTTTCAAATTAATCTGCGCCTAAAACTGCAATAGCCTACCAGACAATAATGACATAACTTTGACAATAGAAATACAGTATATCATAAACAAGAATACTATAGTGCTTCAACCACACACAAACAGGAAGTTCCATAGGGTCACGACATGCAAATTATGCGCCAGATACAAATTGTGTGTCAAGTTACGATATATAAGATATGATATAATTTAATTGATTCAGCGACCGTGAAATACACTTCAGTTGTCTCTCACCCTATTTGTCTTCCTTACCTTGTTGTTTGAAATCATTCAGGTGGGCTTTTCTTTGCCAAGCCCATGCGTTCACGTGGATACGTCACCATGCTGGATCCCTTCCAGCAGCTGTATGGAAAAAGGATGGGCGGCCTGCTCTTCATCCCTGCACTCATGGGGGAAATCTTCTGGTCTGCAGCCATTTTATCTGCCCTGGGTGGGTGATTATTGGACAGGGACACTTAAATAATAACACCTCCATGTTAATGAATACACTTACACGACTAAACTCATGATCTGAATGTGTTGTCCTGCAGGTGCCACTCTGAGTGTGATCGTGGACATAAATATCAACATGTCGGTGGTGATCTCAGCCCTGATAGCTATCTTTTACACGCTTGTTGGAGGACTCTACTCTGTTGCATACACAGACGTGGTCCAGCTCTTCTGTATCTTTCTGGGCTTGGTGAGTTTCACAGTCCACGTCTACCCAGCATGGACTCTAAAGATGGCAATGAATTCCAGCATTGGATAGACTTCTGTATGCATAAACAGGGTTACTTACTTACATCTACAGACAGTAGTCTACTGTGTACCTAGTATTGAAATGCTATCAGACTTTGTGGAAAAATGAGTAGAACTTGAATCCAATGTCAGAGAACTTTAACAGTGGAAACCTAATAAAATCAATATCTATATGTAACATCAATGCTATTTGCATTTTGATACCCTCCTCTCCATCAGTGGATCAGCGTGCCTTTTGCCCTGTCCAATCCCGCCGTGTCGGACATCAGTATTACAGCCAAGGAAGTAATCTACCAGTCACCCTGGCTGGGCAAGATCGAGCCTGAAGACAAATGGCTCTGGGCGGACAACTTCTGTTTGCTGGTAAGCCTATTTTTATCAGATGATTCATTAAGAGGCATTTTATTTTATTTGTTTAAGATACAGGAGTATCATTTAGAATAACTGGAAGCACTGTTGCAGAACAGCTTTGTCACATTTGTTATTGTGCCAAGAGTAAGTTTCAGAGCTGTGGAGGTCTTGCTGACTGTTATGCATTGGTTTGGTGTCTGTATTTACTATGGTGTTTCTGTTTCTAGATGTTGGGGGGGATTCCCTGGCAGGTCTATTTTCAACGGGTTCTTTCTGCCTCTTCAGCTACCTACGCCCAGGTCCTTTCCTTCCTCGCTGCCTTCGGCTGCTTGGTCATGGCCGTCCCCTCTGTCCTCATAGGAGCTATAGGGGCCTCCACTGGTAAATACACACATGCACATTACATTGTTTGGTACAGCTTCATTGTGTAAAATACTGTTCAAATAAATCAAGATTATTGTCCTTTGGTTGTAAATGGACATAAGCCAAGTACTGATTCAGATCACATAGCTTTGACTGCATGTTGTTTACATCTGGATTAGATGCCTACAAATGACACAAAAATGACCAAACTGTAATAGCAACCAAATATCTATTCTACACACACACAAAGTGGCGTCTGGATCGCAGCCATTATATCACGGATGAACACAAACATATCAGACACTGATCCATGAGTGATGTGCTTAGACACACACACATTGATTAAGCAGTTAATGAAAGATCACAAGACAATTAAAACATCCAGGAATGTGATCCTTCATTCAAACAGGAAACTGTGATCAAAGGAAAAACGAGGCCTTCCTGGGTTGTTTGTACCCCAGCTGCTTTATTTTCAGATGCAGATGTATACAATATCTGGAGGGTAATCAACATCAGATGGATCCTGTCATGACGGGCAGAGGAGAGAGTCATCAAACCATGCCGATTTAGTGAATATTACATCTGAAGAGGAGCTAATTAATCTGGTCCGTCTGAAGCTGTTTCATGTATAACCAGCGCTAAACAACCACTGCTTGTGAATATCCAGGGGAAGGAGAGAAAGAAACAGAAGGATGAAGAGAAGGATAAAAAAAAGTGGCAAAAAGACAGAAGGATGTCAGAGGGTTTAAGGGGGAAAGAGAGATAGGAGAAATAAGGTTTTCCCGCTGAATGGGAGGGTGGGGGCAACAGTGGAGAATGGGCGGATGTATATGAAGGGCAGGAGGTACGTATTCCTTCACTATGGAGTTAGACCTGATAGTTTCACATAGACATTCATTGTTCCCAGACAGTGAATCCTAATGACTTTGATGATCCCATCACTTTTCCTGTAGCGCCTCCATGAAGTCCACATTTGCAGTTTTGACTGAAATATCTCAGCAACTATTGGATGAATTTGATACACACATTCATGTTCCCATCAGGTTTAACTGTAACAACTTTGGTGATGATCGGCCAATATTTAAATTTGTACAATACTTTGGTGAATGACCTGTGAAACTACTGCCACTCCCATCAGTCACAGTGTAACTTTGGGTTTAGTGCTAACTAGCAAATGTTAGCATGCTAACCTGCTAAACTATAATGGTGAACATGGTAAACATGAAAAATGATATCTTTGCCAACTGTAGATAACCAGCTCAAAATGTCTCATCATAATAAATGGCTTCCCATGGCTCCAATGGCTTCAATGAAATTATGATTAATAATGTTTACAATTAAAATGCAATTAAACTAATGTATTCTACAATACTGGCTCGTGTTTCATATTAGGACCAATGATCCATAAGGCACAAACCAGTGTATTAGCCATAGTTAATATTGCATGGATGTCATATTTTCAATAAGTATCTATTATTTCTGGCATCCCTCTTATTACTGTTGGTTTTCCCATGTATTTGGACTAACAGCACAGCATTACATTTATAATCCCTGCTGTATTCCAGACGTGAAGCCCTTTTGTTTCACAGCAACTAAAACAGGTGTATCCACAGGGAGCATTATAATAAAGTCTCAGAGTCAAGCCTTTTGTCTTGAAAGCTAAGAGATCAGTACACAAATTGGAATAAAGTAATTATTATTATTTAAAATTCAACAAATTGAGCAGGAACATAGTTTTATTAATCTTAACATAGGAACATGGGTACAGCCTGCTCAACATCAGTTATGTTGTGTTGTTGCCTCACACAAGTCCATGCAAGTTTAGTAATTAAGGAAAATATTTTTGTTTTATTTTGCACATATAGATAATCCTGATATTCAGAGAATATTACTCATCAGAGGTCCAAAAGTATGCCTTTATATTTCTACTTATCTTTTACCATTTCTTCCTCTAGACTGGAACCAGACTTCTTATGGGTCGCTCGCTCCGAAGGATAAGGATCAGTCAGACATGATCCTTCCCATCGTGCTTCAGCACCTCTGCCCGCCTTACATCTCCTTCTTTGGTCTGGGCGCGGTGTCGGCTGCGGTCATGTCATCGGCAGACTCATCCATTCTCTCAGCCAGCTCCATGTTTGCCAGGAACATCTATCAGCTCGCCTTCCGGCAGTCGGTAAGAGTAACAATAACAATAAACAACAATGATGCTAACACACATCTGCACAGTTTAAGCCAGTGGTTGCAAACATCAGTCAAATAATCTATAAATCAATTATAGTTTCATCCCAGTGTCTTACAAATATGTCAGATGATTTTTCTTGCTGAACATACAAAACCAGACTCCAAAACCTTGAGACAACATCAAACATACAAGCTCAGACTTACAAGAACTGAAAAATCTATTTCTTTCAAAATAACATCCTGATGACTTTGAAGTAGTTCCTGAAGTAACACATTTTTTTGAGTAAAATATCTCAACAACTATCACACAGATTGCCACAAAATTTAATTTGATCAAGCTCCATCAACTAATTGCAATGGTATTCCCATCAGCATTAAACTTTGTGTTTAATGCTAATTAGCAAATGTTAGCATGCTGACACACTAAACTAAATTGGTGAATATTACACCTGCTAAACATCAGAGAATGTAAACTGACATTATCATTTAATTCAAAGCACCACTGTGCCTCATAGAGCCACTAGCTTATCTGTAGTCCACATTTGATCTTTTCCTCTTCACTCTGTTATCTCTTTCTTCTCTCCGCCAGGCGTCAGATAGGGAGATTGTTTGGGTGATGCGCTTCACCATCTTTGTATTCGGAGCTCTTGCCACTGCTATGGCGTTGCTAACAGGATCCGTGTATGGCCTGTGGTACCTGAGCTCCGACTTGGTCTACGTCATCATCTTTCCCCAACTTCTCAGTGTGTTATTCGTCAAGGGCACCAACACCTATGGCTCTGTGGCTGGCTACATCTTTGGTCTTTTGCTGCGCATTGGTGGAGGGGAGCCCTATCTCAAACTCCCCCCCTTCATCTACTACCCCGGTTGGGTGACCCAGGAGAGGATCCACCACGTCACTGGGGATATAGAGCACTTTATCCAGCAGAGGTTTCCGTTCAAGACTATGTCCATGCTGGCATCCTTCTTGGCAAATGTGGCCTTTTCTTACCTGACAAAGTACCTGTTTGAAAGCGGTACTTGGTCACACAAGTATGACTTCCTGGACGCCGTGGTGTCCAAGCATAGCCAGGAGATCATGGACAAAGCCACACTGGTGAGCAACCAAGACAACATCATTCTTTCAGAGATGGCGCCCGTCAAGCAGGTCCTGGGTGCGTCACTCGCTGGGACATTCATCAACACTGAGGTCCTCAGTGATGATGGGGCATCCAGTCCAGAGGCTTTTCACAATGAAAACTAGGCAACAAAGGCACAAAGAATACTAGAACCAAGGGATTTAAAGAAGAAGGAATAATCGAAGGGGCATCCACATTCTTCAGGACACTTGCTACTGCCGCACCAGAAGCCAAATCAACAGAAATCTGCTGTGGCTTCCGAGTGACTCCACAAGTTTGTTTTATGCTGATTACATGGTGCCTCCTTCTTTTTTAATATCCCTTGCCTAGAACCAGGAAGATGACAGATTAGCTGTGTCGAGCATAACATACTCATTCTTTTTTTTTCAAATTGTGACTCTGTGAATCTAAAACCACTACAATCATTTTAATTTAAGTGCTGCAACCATGAGGAACTTTCAGGGGAAAAATAGTGGCTGCTGTGTACAATGACGTCTTCAAGGGTTTGCTGCGGGTAATGAGAATAGTGCAATATCTAACAAAGGAATTGTGTCCACGTCGAAATAGCAGTGTGTGTGTGTGTGTGTGAGTGTGTGTGTGTGCTTGAGTGTGGCAACAAAGCAGTGAATATACTGAAACCTTTTCACAGACTGTGAGGTTTAATTTGGCATAGAGTCAATTTATTAATAGCAATAATATTTGTAGGATCTATGTTGTATAGATAGATACATTGTACTGAATGTTTAGGTTACTGTCTTTCCTTTTAACTTGAAGACCAAGATATTTCTTATTTTATGTTCACCTTGCTCTTAATCCTCCTGTCAATCTCGCTAATTCCAGACTCAAAAAGTGCTGATTTAAGAACCACATGCCACCGTGATATTACCAAACTCGCCAAACAGAAGGTTGATATTGGATGATTCTGCAGATTCCATTCAGTCTTGACAGTTTCAACGTTCACTGTCAACATGTTTGAAATTCATAGTCCAATGCAACATCCCCGTGTTGGAGCTACAATATGGTTGAGGTAAAATCAAGGTCCACGTTAGGAATGTAAGTCTAATATTCACTCCGACAGAGCCTCAGCTTTTGTTACACACCACCCTGATGTTTGCAGATTCACGTATTCAATATACAGTAAACCTGGATTGTTTAATGTTTTTCCTGTGTACTTTCCAAGCAGCCATTGGCTTCCATTCATTTCCATACGTTATGAAAATCAATTTGCAATCTTTGTCTTTGTCAAACTTACGATTGTGTTGTGCATCTTTGAATTAATGTGCATTTATAACTGCATTTACGATAACATTGACATCAATTAAAGCACATATGATGTTTTTGGAAGCTCATTTTCACACACATATATATGTATATATATATTTATGTACATATATGTATATATATATATATATGTATATAATATATATACATATATATAAATGAATAGAACCTAATGGCAGCCTGGATGAGAATTCAGAAATCTAAAACACTAAGTTTTAAAAATGATTGGCATTAAGAAACAGTGTACTTCATTGATATATAAAATGGTCACACAGACGCTATTTTGAAACATGCGTGTGTATGTTTGTGTGTGTTTGTGTGTGTGTGTGTGTGTGTGTGTGTGTGTGTGTGTGTGTGTGTGTGTCTGTGCCTATCATGGTTTCTTTGCTCATCCTAAACCTGTATTGACTGGCCAGCCACAGCAGGTTAGCGGAGACAGGAAATTATTGTTTCTCCCGAGATGGTGTCAGTCGCACCGGTCTTTATCGATCCCCAGTCGATTAGCCCTCAGGACATTTGATTAATGCTGCAAAGAGGTTTGAAACTGCGGTTTATAAGGGTTTGTTTGACAGTGTGTCATTCACAGCGATGAATTTTCAAAGTTTGTTTGTGATTGAGCACCATCATTCATAAATTCCCCCAACGTCAGTCCTCACATTTTCCCAGGTCTGGCTGTTTCAAATGAACAGGCACACTGCTGCTCCGTATGACCAGAATCAAAAGGAGTTGTCACTTCATACCGTGATTTCTGGCATTGTTAAGTGTTACTGTCCAGTTGACTTCTTTGTGTTTCTCTCCTCTAAGAATTGCTGTCGTTTGTTGGTGTCTTTTTAAATCTATGGACTCGCCTTAATTTAAAGGTCAGACATGGAGAATTCCTGGGTTTGAAACTCTGGAAAAAAGTGACCACTTTTATAGAGATCACTTTTTCAGTTAATTAGGCTGTTGAAATTCTATATTTAATTTATTGTCAACAATTAAGACCAAAAACAAAAGATGTATTTGTCTGTCTCTCACTATTCTCTGACCTCCTGACCCGATCTATGGCGCTCAACCGCAAGCCCATTCATTACGACTTAAGACGTGTAATCCTTAAAAAGGGGTCATAAATATAAAGTGTAATTTTTTAAAAGGTGGAACAATTTGGCAACATATAGCTGGGCACTGCAGTTTCCAGAAAACAGGAGTAAATGGTGCATTTGTTGGGGACTATTTATAAATTAGGCATCCTATTGGGTATTTAGAGCAGCAGGACAATGAATATGAGTTGACTCAATTTAAACTACAGTGCCCATGTTGCTCTTACTGAAGGAATATATATTATCCAGTGTGAAGGTATGGTTCACTGATGTGTTTTCAATAGTTTCTTGGACAACAATGGAGCTTTATGGCTCGGAGGAACAAGCTATATCAGGCTTTAGCTGCTCAGACGATACTTGTTAGTAGGATCAATTCATTGTTGATTTTGGTCTTAGGTATTATGCGACAATAAGAGAAATCTAGTACAACACCAGCCTTATCCTTTAAGGCGGCAAGCTGACCTTATAGTCAGTCTTTAGAGAGAAGCGGACTTGACCCCTTTAAGCAGCCATATCTGCTGAGGTACAGTGAGACGCACCAAATCCAAGCCTGATCCTATCTCGTCTCTAAAACATAAATACAGTTGTGGGATTTATGATTTGCCACCAAGATGACGTCAGCTTGAAGCTGAATGGGGCGACTGCTGGCCTGATGTTATGCAAAGTGTCAGGCAATCTCAACTGTGAATGTAAACCTTCCTCCTCATCAGATAAGCTTCACAACGTGTGTCGCACACAGAAAAGAATCTACGTCAGACGTTGAACTGGCACAACTCTGTCTATATGTCGTAAATTGCAATGATGCTGTATTTTTGTGTGATAAATGTACATACCAAAAAAGTATAGAAACGATTTAGTCTACTTTTAAATGCAGCATTAAAAATGATGTTTGTTTACAGTGAACTTACAGCTATTTATTTATTCATGCAGTGTCTATAAGAGTATAGTTGTAAACATATGTAAGGTCAGTTGAATAAATTATATTATTTAGCACATTTGTTTTTTTCTCTCTATATGTACATACTTGCATTATAGCATTTTACATTTGTACACAATTTGCATATATGTCAACTTTCAATTATTATTTTATTCAACTATTTCAGAAGATATGAAAAAAATATGGAAAGATGGATGTGTGTGTGCTCGTGTGCATGTGTGCGTGCGTGCGTGTGTGTGTGTGTGCGTGCGTACGTGTGTGTGTAGAGTGTGGACTGTTTGGTGGAGGGTTTAATCTAGAGGTTGCCGCCTGTTTGGGCGCATCAATCAAAACGCCTGCCTCAGAATTGTTAGACTGCAGAAACTCGATGCTGTCAATCTTTCTCACACACACACACACACACACACACACTTCTCAGATCCCAGCATGTCTACACCAGTCTGACCCCTCTCTGAGGGAAGAAACATTCAAATTGTGTTATTTCTCAAAGTAGAAGAGAAAAGAATATATTATAGTTTGTGAAGTTCCTTTTTAACTGTACCTGAAGTATATTACAAGGTTTAGACTAGAACTAGTTTTATTGTGAAATGGAATAATCACTCATAACTAAAACATATTAGGGACTTGACTTAAAGTAATGGGAAAACAACACCATCAGGAAACCAGGATGGACAAAAATAAATAAAATGCAACTGAACAAATTCAGTAGTAAATGTTGCTCCTATGTCAAACCCTCTTATTATTGACCATATTTATGATTTCCGACAAAACCCTATTATTTTGTGAAACAAAATCCTTACATAAAACATATGAATAACAACTATAAACCACTTGTTTTAATTTATCAACTTGCATCACAGGATTTATAAAAGCGCAACTTAGTTGGTCTTTAATGTAATTTGAGGGTATTGCATGAAATGAAAGCATGGCGCCTCTTATCTGAGTACATTCGGTTCTTTTCACTTTCTCTCGCTCTCTGCCTTTCTCGGATTTCTATATTTGACAAGTCACCGAGTGCTTCTATATAGATGCTTATTGTAGTGTATGAGTCATATAAGAATCTATGAAAGAGCTCCACGCTGGGTTTTTTTATCTTCGTTAGTATTTTTTCACTAATGATATGGTTGGTTGTGTCATTATGGTGCCATTTAGAGACACTTCTATCACAATCCCTAATGTGCTTTCCAGTCTTGCTCGTTTTAATTGAGACAGTCGTGTTTCAATCTCTAAGGCTGATACGAGGCAGTTGATTCATATGTAGATATAACACCTCTCCCTGTCACATGCTTCATCTTGTGGGAATCATGTGTGCACCCTCCTCGCCTCCAGAGCAACACCTAACAGAAAGCTATTATTCTAGTCTGTAGAAAGAAGATTGAGGCAGGTGGGCAGGTTTAATACGTACATAAAAGTGTTAGTGTCAATGAAACCTGCTACAGTGGCAGATGATTCACCTGCAGGTGACAGACATGAGATTGGTCTGATAACACTGAAATTATACCGAGGAATGTTTTAAAGTGTGTTATCATCTCACGAACACACTCTTTGGGGAATAGTTATTCATTTTCAAGTCAATTATAAAAGCACATTATAAAAAAGTCTCATGCAAGAATATATTCGTATTCAACTAATGCTGGCACATCCACGATCCATCTCGAGGAAAACTCGTGCTTGGCAAGATATATTGACTATTTATACTATTTCTTTATTTTACCATTTCATATTTTAAGATAAATGTACGATCATTTAGCCCTTTAAGCAGGAGAGATTTGCATTCGAGATTTGCAGGAGAGACCTTGTACAGTGCAAGAACAATGTTTTTGCATGATAGTGTGAATTGTCAGATAAACAGATCACACGGCTGATTCTTAGAGTATTTTATGTTTGATGTATCATTGGCCTTTTCATAATCCCTTGAAGAAAAAGAAAAAAACCCTCTAATGAGCTATGTTCGTCCCTCCTATCCTTATCTTATCCTGTTATCTGACCCTACAGCCTAGCCACAGGCTTCACGACTCAAGCTTTCTCGTCACTGACGCTTCCTGTGTTTAAAACAACCGAAAATTCCCCGAACGTCATCAGTGGTATGTAAATCACACATAGAGAGAGAGAGACAAACACACACATACATTCAGCCCTGCAGCACAGCTCATGACTTATTCTATCTAAAATGACAAAAAAAAAGTCAGAAAAGCAGTTGGAAGTGCTGATGAAAAGCCGACTCATTACACTCTTTGACACCCCTTATTATTTATTTATTGATTACATATTATTCTACATTTTAATTGCTTTGAGGTTTTTATAACAGCTATGATTTAGTGTCTAATAATAGATCATTTATACCTTCAGACAATTTAATTAAAAGCTTTTCCTTGCTGTTACATTACACTGACATCTATGCATTTGGAAACACTGATTGGCTGATCCGGACTGGCGCTGGTGGGGAAGGTGTTACTTTAATGTTTAATTCTGGGCCAGAGGTATCAATCTACAGAGGCAGCTGCTTGGGTTAATAAACTAAATCAATCAGTCTTCAAAGTGGGAAAGAGAGAGGACCATTTTTGTTAAAAGCTATCCAAGGGAAGGTCGCCTTGCACATTTTAAACTGATAGGATAATAGGAAGAGGTGGTAAAAGCTACAAATGGCTTTGGGCCAAGAGGCTTGGCTGAATGAGAACAAAGGAGCAGAAGAGAAGGAAGGAAGCTGTCTTAGTAAATTAAATGCATTGTCAAGATCAACTCCAGTGCCCATACACTGCAGTAGCACGAGTGGAGGATATGTCTTTTACTAGCATTGCTTTTTAAAATTGTATTTAGATGTGCTGGCTATGCTATCTACTGAGGTGAATTTATCTCAGATAGACAGAATGTGGAGTCCTAAATGCAGCATACCTGGAAACCTGAGACCATTTAAAGATAAGACATAAAACAAAAAGAACAGAGGTCTAGCTAAAGAAGACAGAGTGGGATGAGGTAATTTATAGCAATAAATGTTGGCTCATTTACTGTTTTTTCAATAATGGCAAGACTGGAAAAAAGTCATCGTCATTATTCGCATTAGACTAAGTGCTCAACTTCTCAGATCATA